AGAAGAGTTTTAATCCTGTACAAACAGAATATTGATTTATTATTTAGAATGAGGATGATTAATTCAGAGTGTTTATTCCCCCACAGTCCAAACACATGCGCTATAGGGGAACTGATCAACTAAATTGGCCGTAGTGCGTGTGTGTGTGTGTGTGTGTGTGTGTGTGTGTGTGTGTGTGTGAATGACTATATATGGGTGTTTCCCAGTACTGGGTTGCAGCTGGAAGGGCATCCGCTGAGTAAAACATTTGCTGGAATAGTTGGTGGTTCATTCCGCTGTGGCGACCCCTGATGAATAAAGAGACTAAGTTGAAAAGAAAATGAATGAATGAATGAATGAATGAATGAATGATAAGGGTTCTGTGTTTGATCTGTTATAATCTGTTATGACCATCATAGCTATTACTCACACTCACACACACACACACACAACAAAAACACAAACACATGCTCTGTCTCTCTCTTACACACATTCAAACACATACTCTATCTCTCTCTCTCTCTCTCTCTCTCTCTCTCTCTCTCTCTCTCTCTCTCTCTCACGCAAACCTCTGTACAGGTATCTATTCCTCATGGGGACCGAAAAAAGATCAAACCACAAGGTCGAAAGGTCAAAAGGACTGGTATTACTATACTGGTGGGAACATTTGGTAATAAATACTCACAGTGTGTAAAGAATAGAAGGTACACACACACACACACACACACACACAAACACACACACACACACACACACAATAGTAATGTTATGCAAGTATGTGTGTGTAGCAGTATGAGTGTGTGTCAACTTTGTCAAGATCCTTTTAACTCAATTGACAATACAAACAACTGTTCAACTGGAAATACGGGTTCCTCAAACACACACACACACACACAATACATACACACACACACACACACCATACACACACGCAATACAGAAAACACAAGATTAACCACAAAACACACACACACACACAATACATACACACACATACACACACACACACACACACACACACACACGCAATACAGAAAACACAAGATTAACCACAAAACACACACACACACACACACACACAGTAATCCATGTAACCTTAAACGGCTTTATAAGATCTGAATCTCCAGACACAACATTCACTAAAGCAGTGGTTCTCAAACTTTTTTCACCAAGTACCACCTTAGAAATAAATCGTCTCTCCAAGTACCACCTTACGACGCTATTTTTTAACCAGTATTAAAAAATAGCGTCGTAAGCCTAATTAAGCAGCTACAGGTGTGCACAGTTTTAAAACGATGCAGATTAAATCCTATTATTAAGAATATGTATTATTGTCAGTCACTTTAAACATTTGAAATAGTCTGAACATTAACTGTGCTTGCAGATAAAAAAAAAAAGTTTTAGTTAAAATGTGTTTTTAAAAGTTCTTAAAAAGTAAAAAGAAAACTGCTGTACTTAAATCTAAAGTATTCATAGTAGCCTATTCATCAAAAGCTGGAAATGCTGCTTGGACCTTATAAATATAGGCTATATGTCATATTCATACACTTTCAGACAAATCTTGAAATAAATGTTAAATGTACATGACAGGGTTCATACAGGCACAGCCTAATGAAAGTCAATTCCAGCACCTATGTTTTTTTCAAGACTGACATGCTATGTATTGAAGACCTGAAATGTATTCTCAGTAACCCATAAAACATTGCATAAGAATAGATACACATAAAAACCATTAATAATAATATTTATTAATCATATATTAATAATAAAATAAATCTGCACTAAGTGCTTGTGAAATCTTTTTTGTACTCAAGTAAAAATACTATCACACTGCTAAAATAACAAAAATTTAAGTAAATAATACTAATATTAGGTAAAAGTACAAATTACTCTTTTAAAAAAGTACTAGTTGGTTATTTTTTTAAAAAAAATCTGATTTTCATTATGAAATTACTTTTTTTTAAGTGTAAACCTAATTTAATGGTTTGATTGCTTACATCCCAAAGCTACATGTATAATTTGCACTAACAAAGGAAGTATAGTCAATTTTTCCTTTCATGACAATTAATCTTTTTCAATAGCACTGGTAAAACTACCAAATAATCTTTAAGGCCATAGAGACACTTTTTGCCCATTTTTAAAAATATATATTTTTAAGCTTTGAAAGGTTAAATTAAAGTATATGGTAAAAAGATTTAAATTTAGCGTTTTATTTACATATTTTACACTATTTTCTTTACAATATGGCAAATTTGTTTCTTAAATAGCTGTACATCACATGTAAATTTTATTTTACACTTGATCTTAATCTAAAATAGAAACGTAAAAAAATACAAGTACACTGTCAGTAAAAAAAATAAAACAAATGGCTTCATTTTACTTGAGGTATTTGAAATATGACGACACTACATTTATCAAAGCAGTGCTTTAAGAGCCTTATTGTAAATTGTGATAAATAAACAATAAGTAGGCTAACAATGGATTGCTTTGACCTGTAATGCTTTAGGACAGATCAGAATAC